TTTATGCTGTGTAATTTAATAGTCAGGAATGCTGGATAATAGAGAAAATAGCAACTGATTTGACAGCTCAATATCTCTATAGTGATGCTGAGATGTTGAGAGAAAGTGTTTCTGAATTCAAATAGTCGGGATTAGATGTGACAGAACTGAAGTAGAAGAGTGGACAGTGAAGCTGTTATCCAACATGTTCCCTGTCAGGCTGTGTGCATTTACCAGAATGAGATGTAAATGTGAAAGAGAAGCTTTTAGCACAGCAGAACTTCTTTATGTCTAAATCCTAAAAATCCTAAAATCAAAAAACCTTAGTCTGTACATGGGATTTCATGTGATAACAAAGATGCTGTTTCAAAGATCTGGCTTATAATGCCGCAGGTGTGGGTTTGGTTCTTTCCATAAGCGCAAAGTTTTGATGGTGACTCACTCACTCACTCGTGGGATGAGACAGAGATTAAAAAAGAAAAGCAAAAGAATAATGAGCAATAACCATGACATATTTGACATAACAGCTGACATATTTGCAGTCGCAATGGCTTAATTCGTGAGACTTCATATTTAACTCATCAGTAGTTAAGAATAGCTTACATGTTTGTAATTGTTAGTTTTGGGGAACATTACTAGAAAAAACTGCAGTGGCTTCGTAGTTGCTGTTGTAGAAATACTCCAAGAAACGCACTCATACACAGTTTGGCACACACATGACAAACATCAGCCACTAAATGTACAGGATGATCATAATGCTGTGAGTTGACAAGATAAAAAAATTAAAATACTGAAATCTTTAAAGGCACACTCCATGTCAAGTTTTTTGTTTGCTATGACTTCTGAGCCATTATGTCAGCTTGAACTCACTACTAAGCTTAATACATCTATTATATTCATCCCAAAAAATCTTTGAAATATGTATCTAACTAGATCTAACCAGATACACTGGATGGCATTGCATTGGCCTCCAGAGACCCTGTCTCAGAGTGAAACTGAAAGTTCATGCTGGACTACTGCAAATCGTTATTATCAGGATGTTCAAAGAATTCCATGAAGAGTCATCAGTTGATTCAAAATGCTACAACAAGAACACTGACAGGGGCTAAATGATAGCATATTTCTCTAACTTCGGCTTCTATTCATTGGCTCCCTGTTAAATCCAGAATTAAATTTAAGATCCTTCTCTTCACATACTAGGTCTTGAAAAATCAGGCCACGTCTTATCTGAAAGATCTCATACTACCATATCACCTCAATAGAATAGAGAAGTTCACTCTCAGACTGCAGGCTTACTTCTGGTTCCTTGGGTATTTAAAAGTAAAATGGGAAGTAGAGCCTTTAGCTATCAGGGCTCTTCTTCCCCTCTTCTGTGGAACCAGCTCCAAAACTCACAGACACTGCTGAAGAACTTCCCATGATGCTCTGAATTTTACTTCTTCACTCACCTACTTCACTCACCATGTGTTTATACACCTCTCTGCATTTAATCATTAGTTATTATTAATCACTGGCTCCCTTCCACATTGAGCATTTTATTTCTGGAGGGTTCGTCCTCCCCACTGTCGCCTAAGCAGTTGTTCAAATAGGTCATATGATTGTAGGGGTTTCCTCTGTATTATTGTAGGGTCTTTACCTTACTGTGCACCTGTTGTTGTTATTTAGCACTAAATGAATAAAACAGAATTTTGTGTGTGTGTGTGTGTGTGTGTGTGTGTGTGTGTGTGTGTGTGTGTGTGTGTATCATGCATATGATCTCATTGTATATAGCTAAACACTACAGTCTCAGTCAGTACTTGAAGTTAATATTTTCTTTCTATCTTTATTTAGGACATTAACTTAAATTAGAGGCTTTTATTATATTTAACTTTTTGGACCAGGACTTTACAAACCACTGACTGGCATCATACTGCTTCAAGTATTTTAACTACAAAGATTCTTCTAACATATTTTCTTGTTTCATTGCTCAGGTTTGGATCAGGAACTTCATTCCACCTGATCTCTTCAGGAGGTCAACCATACTCCTCAAATTTCTGTCCCCTTGTCCCCCTCCAAGGCAGCAGTCATGAATTGGAATTGGCTGGAGGACCTCATCAGTGGGGTCAACAATTACTCCACAGTGTTCGGTCGGGTCTGGCTCTCAGTGGTCTTCATCTTCCGGGTGATGGTGTTTGTGGTGGCGGCTCAGCGAGTGTGGGGTGAAGAGAGCAAAGATTTTGAATGCAACACTAAACAGCCAGGCTGCACCAACGTGTGCTACGACCACTTCTTCCCCATCTCCCACATCCGCCTGTGGGCCCTGCAGCTCATCTTCGTCACATGCCCGTCGCTGATGGTTGTTGCCCATGTCAAATATCGAGAGATGAAGGACTTAAAGTACACCACCACCCATGAGGGTAAACACGTGTATGCCCGCCCTGGGAAGAAACGTGGAGGGCTGTGGTGGACATACCTGGTAAGAATGAAGGGTGCTAAAGTTTAATTCCACTGTTATTGTGTATGCCACACATGGAAGGAGATTTGCAATTATAATGTATGAGCAACAAGCTTCACCAAACTGATGTGAAGTTGTGTGACTTTGCAAGAGTGGTCTACGATAATGCAAATTTTGGTATCTATCAATATCAAGTATTGCAAAGACATTCAGATATTTTTCACAGTGTATGTCTGATGTATTTTTTGTATTTCTAAATATATATATACTGAACTTAGAGGATAGAAACAAAGTACAGATCATATCACCCTAGTATCGATCTGATACTGAAAGAAACTGGTTCTATGCTTTCAAAGCTTCCTTTAAACAGCCATATAATACATCC